CACGAAGCCTGACTCGAATCCCTTTCAGTCCAAGAACTCGCGAATGAACTCCTAATTCACTCGGTCATAGGATTTCTCGAAATCCAACTTGAGGATCACAACCGGCTACCGGGTTTGTTTTAATTCGTGAACAATCTCCCGAAGCACTACTGGCTCCTCAAGGATGTTGCGACCCTTGAGAAAAGCCGTCTGGCTTCAGTTGATGATTCTATGCGCAACAGGGGCAAGCCGCGTCGTATAGGCCTTTGCGCAGATTTTGAAAGGCACGTTGATGAGGGTGATAGGGCGATATTATTTGATGGACTCCACTCCTCTGACCTTTGAATTAAACTGATGACTCCGAAGTTGAGGTGCGAGATGTCTACCATGCCTAACGCGAAACCATTAATGATGTCGTAAAAGGAGCTTTGAGCATGCGCCAAAAACGACGAAAGAAGCCACCGGCCAGCCGTCCGGGCCAGGGGCAGTATCAATCTTCATCGATCCAACAACCCTATCAATTTCCTCCGTGGAAAAGGATAAGGCAAGGAGGTCGTTTTCGGCCTGAGAAACTCGAGCTTCGTCCCCCCAGAAATCTGCTCGAAGGCGCATGGGCTTTTCCTCCGTTGTTCCCAACAGGTTAAGGAAGAAATCATCTATGTGAGCCGTTATTTCCGATTGCTGACCAACACCCCATGCTCGGATTGAAGGCGCAGAAAGCATTTCCGTTTACGCCTGTTGGCGTAGGCATGGAAATAACCCGTGTTAGCGTCTCCCTTAGTAATCCACTTGACGTCGCCTCGACGGCGCTAGTATTCCTCCTCTTCCTAAGAATGAAAAGCACCTGGTTTTCTAGGGCATATCGATTGGCCCACTCCGCCTCCGAGAAGGCTTTGGAGTCAACTTGGGCGTCGAGGGATTTGATTTCGTCTATGAGAGCTTCCCTAGCTCTCTTCGACTCACTATCGTGGTTAGCCCCCCTACCGCGGAGGAAGCCACGTAAGGCACCGGCCGCAGAGATCCAAAGATCCATTGGCTTCCTGGTCCTGCCGGCCGCGGCCACCGCTATCTCCCAACGAGCGATGATCAGAGGAATAAAGCCGCCCACCTCGAAGCAGCTAGCAAGTGATGATGATGTATGCACGAATACATGCTGACCTAGTACTGTATCACACAGGAAATCTTTCAGGCGAGACTTTATTCGATCTCGCCTTGAGCGAGATATAGCTCCAGCGATTATACTCAGCTGGCACCATTATGTTTTTTTAGGCAAACCATTGTGCTACTACTACTAGTAGGCTAAAAAACTATCACAGGGATCATACATGATGTGGCCCGAACCGCCTGAGCCACGCATATTGGATCACGGCCCGAACGACGGAGCCGTTCGGTCGCCAAGCTTGTGCGGCCCAGACGAACATATGTTACGCTTTCCTGACAATCGACCGCCACGTGATGCCATCCGATCTCTCTTTATCTTTCTCTCTCCTACAAGCCGAGACCAAACCGAAACACTTTCTCTCTCTCCCTTCTTTCTCGTGCTCGGAAACCCTAGCCGCAAGAAGACTTCGCCTCGCCCCCACATCGCCCGCCGTGTGACCTGCCTACGTGGGCGAACGATGGCCGCGGAGAACTACTGGAGGTACGCCGACGCGCGGCAGCAGCAGGCCATGGTGGCGGCTGCGGCGGCCGCGGCGGGGATGGCGCCAGCAGCTACCGTTGCGCAGGCCGCGACGGCCGCGGGGGGCATGCAGCAGCACCAGCACCAGCACCAGCAGGCGGCGATGGCGCAACAGCAGCAGCAGCAGCAGCAGCAGCAGGCGGCCGCGCCGTCGCTTAAGCGCGCGCGCCCAGACTACGGCGGTGAGTTCGCGGCCCTCAGATCTGCCCCCTAGAATCTAGATCTGGATCCTTTTGTTCTCGCTATGATGGTTCTTTTGCTCTTTGTGTCGTTGTTTGTGCTTGCGTGTCTGTATTGTCTCGTGGTTAGTGGTAGTTTTGGTTTTATATAGTTGTAGATGAGATATTGCTTAGATCCAGTAATACGGTCACTAATTTTGTAAACATCGTAGCGGGCTTAGCCTATATGGGGGTAATACTCCAGCATTATCATAGCACTAGATCGATACCCGTACCAGAATTTCTACTTATTATTTTTATAGTCTAAAAAGGGTTGATTTTCTACCACAAATCTGCCCAGAGTATTTTCAAGAACGATGCTGAGAGATGCTTACAGACTTGAAAAACTCGAGTGATACACGTGGTAAATCTGCGGATTGGATTTTGGTGCAATAATTGTTGCCACATCACTTTGCCTCCCCGTCTCCGTTACTAGTGGAAACATAATAGATGTACTCTTCTAATCTGGCTCTCGTAGCTCAATTTTGGTCAGAGCTTTTTGTTGGTTGTTTGGATTTCAGTATACCGGTTTTTAATAGTTGGTACCAAATGTGTGTGTGGATCAATGGGGGGTAATGACTGGTGTTGCCTGCATTATAAGAAATCCTGGAGTTCTCATGACAGTTAAATGCTTGTATGTAGCTGCTCTAACTTCTAACTGTTAGTGTGCGTCCATATTTTCTCCTTGTACTTATGCCCTTTTTACGACTTGTTTATCTACTGAATATTCTTAGCTTGCTGGTTATATTAATTAAAGATATTGTTGGCAAGTGAGATTTACATGAAACCTGTTTTTTTTATTGTTTGCAGATGGTCCTGGAGGACAAGAGATGGCAGGATATTATCCGCGGGAAAATGCAGGTTACCACTCACTTAGAGACAATGAAGCAATTGGAGCATCTTATGACCGCTACTTACGCAATGGGGTATTGTTAACTTCGTTGTAAAGAGCTCACATAATTATTCTGAGCACCTTGTCGTGATACTTTGGCCTTGTTTTTGTGCTTCTAGATGCCTTCTGTGGCAGCCAATGAACCAAGTAGGGCAGTTGTTGGTGCCATGGGTGGAGGTGCAATGGTTGGTGGTGGAATGAGTGGATATCCTGTTGATGATCGCCGTATGATGGGTGTCGTTGGTATGGACAGCAGAGCCATGGGGTATGGTGCAAGACCTGAGCCTCCTCTCCCCCCGGATGCATCCAACACTTTGTATATTGAAGGTCTGCCTGCAAACTGCACTCGTAGGGAGGTTTCACGTATCCTTATAAGCTATATTGCTATCATGATGTGCTTAACTTCATTTCTTAATTGATGGTTGAGTATTCTTTGATGTCACACCACTGATATTCATCACATAGTTCCATTCCTGTTTGTTAATGATACTCTTGTTCTTGTGGCCTAATCTTTGTTGTTCAGTCCCTCTCCATTTATTTTATATGCCCTGACAAGCTGCTTGTTCAATATGATGCACCAGCAGAGAATTTAGAATTGTATCATCTCGCACCATAAGTGCTTTTGCTCCTTAACCTTCTCCACTACAGATATATTCCGCCCTTTTGTTGGTTTCCGTGAAGTGAGGCTTGTCAACAAAGAGTCAAGACACGTATGTATATTCTGCCCTTCTGTTGGTTTATTTTGTGTTAATAAACCGTATATTATATTCTAATGATGACATATCTTGACCTGTCAACTTTGCTGCAGCCTGGTGGAGATCCTCATGTCCTGTGTTTCGTTGATTTTGATAGCCCTGCCCAAGCTACTATTGCACTTGAAGCCCTGCAAGGTGAAAATACTTGTGTTTGCAGATTTGGATTATGTAGTTGTATAGATACTCTTATTTTCATCTCTGGTAATATTCAGTATCGTATGTTTTCATTTTTGGTTTACATATTTATGCATTCCCCATTAGTTTCTTCTCAAGCTTGCTTTGAAATTGGTAATCATGATCAATTGTCTGTTGTACTTTCTTTTTGCAATATGTGCAGCATAGGTAGATTGTGCTTTAGGGATAGTGACCAGTTGACCTTAGCTGGCATTAATAGCCAAAAACTCACCTTCCACTGCGCTGCGATAATACTAGAATATTTATTCAGACCATGATTTTTCTAGGGCATGTTATTGTATGCGTAAAATTTGCAATTTTGGTTCTAGAGATTAGTGTGAAGTCATTTGACCATCTATACGTTGCTCGGCTCTGCAGTACTGTACAGTTCGAACATCCACGTCGATGTATCCTTGCCAATCAATTCCAGTTTTATAGTTGTTACTGTATCTCTTTTCCTATGCGTTGGATCTAATGCTCACTCCTGAATTCTTGATGGCATGGCGTTAACGTTTGAGGTTCGTTATGTTCTCCCGACGACGAAGCGAAATAAACCGTCACGATTCATTTTGCAGGTTATAAGTTTGACGAACACGATCGTGAATCAGCCCATTTAAGGCTGCAATTCTCGCGCTTTCCTGGTCCGAGGTCAGCTGGTGGGCCTCGTGGTAGGCGTTAAGTCGTGCGGGTCAGGTGGTTGGCGAACCTACCGATTATTCGAGCGATCGAACCTGCTTGGTGTAACGCTTTGCGCTGAATTCTCCGCCGGTGGCTCGTAGCGTTCGTCAGCCGATGTCGTGAAAGCGTGAAAAGGACGATGCAATAATCTCGCTGTTCAGTATCCATTAGATTCTCGGGGTCGCATGTGTGTCTGCTTTAGTATTTATGGTCTACTGTATTTTGTTATCTCGCGGCGTGACCCAGACAATACCGGTCTTTTATCATGTGTAACGCTAACTTTCTTAAAGCACTTGCTTGTTTGTTTAGCCATGCTAGTAATATCAACTCTTCTCTTCGTCTTCCCATCTGTCCATATACCTAGGTTAATATGTACATGTCCTTTATAGTCCCTCTGTTTCTAAATACAAGTCTTTTTTAGAGATTTCAGTACAAACTACATATGGATGTATATAGAGTTATAGACATATTTTAGAGTGTAGATTCCACTCATTTTGCTCCTAGTCCTCTATTGAATCTATTTAGGAATGGAGGGAGTACATGCGGTTGCTTTGTGGTAGTGATCACTTCTCCCCACCTTAATTAACTCTAGTGTAGAATTAGGGGGCTCTCTTGTTATAATTCAGAGTTGCATGCCTGGCTATCGTGTTAAATGTCGAAGTGGTCATCAACTCTAAATTGGAGGATTGTCAAGCATATTTGGATGACCAAGTTCACTCTCCTAAGTATTTGCATAGAAGTTGACATGCATCCAAGTCTAGCCACTTAAGTTTAATGTTTCATGCATCAGGAACTGGTTGGCAATATCATATGTGTTTGATTGATCAGGAAGTTATGACTTGAATTGCTTCAGGGTTGGTTTCTCTCATGGAAGTAGTTCTACTGATATGTCCCTCCCCCTTCTGGTTAATTTTTTTGACCGCAAATGCTTATTTTTTAATTTTGTTGTGTTTATTCACATTTCCTAATATACGAGTGGTCCTGACGTTCTCTCCCGTTTGTGTTTCGTTGTCATTGATTACCCTGTAAGATCAGTACTTATTGTTGTTTTTGTAAATATATTTGAACATATATTGTTTGTTGTAACATTGTGTGCCAATGATAGTTGTATTTTGGTGTTATTTGTTTGCTTGCCTGGGATATTTGCACCGTGCTGTGCGTTAATTTGTTTGAATGTAATGTCTGAATGCCCACGCAAAGGGTATATTGGAGCCACCCGCAACGATAAATCGCGTGTCGAGATGCTGCCACGCGATTTTGGTATCCACACTGTGAGTTCCCACGTGATTCGTGCAAACAGTGAGCGCATATAATATTTCTCAACCATACAAATTCGTATGGCCCGCGTCCACAACTCTGTACTAGCCAAGAGGCTTCGGTACCAACCAACACACCAGGATTCAAAGACGCAAAAAGAAAAAGAAAGATAATACCACTGCTGTAGATGCACGCCCTTCTCTTAGTTGAGAAGAACTCAGGTAAGGAAGTCTAGAAAGTTCTAAGACCGGGGTAGGTGAATCCATTGACCTTGACGCGAAACATAGGTTGGATGGTTATAAGAGGACAGTGCTACCTTGACGGTGCTATTAACAGTGCTATCCTTAGTCCACAAGGGATCAAATCCTGGTGCTCACATTTATCCTAGATTTATTTTAGGATTTTCAATGATGTGCGTTTAGTGGGGAAGACGTTTCCGTCTACTACGAGGCGCCTACAGCGACTTCGTAAACTCTTAAGAGACATGGCGGCTCAGTCTCTCGAAGATGTTCATAAAGGTAGGGTGCGCGTGTGTGCATTCATAGGGTTGAGTGTATGCGCAGAGTGCTTTCGTTTGTACTGTGTTTAAAAAAAAGGGTCCATTACATGTCAGTCCCAATGGCCGCAGCATGCTCCCCACCCCCACCGTCTTTTAAAAGTCTGAATGCCTTCCCATATACTCCTCCCACCCCCACCGTCTTTTAAAAGTTTGAATGCCTTTCCATATACTCCCTCCGTCCCAAAATTTTTGTCTTAGATTTATTTAGATATGGATGTACGTAATACTAAAACGCGACTTGATATATTTGTATTTAGAAAATTGAAGACAAGAATTTTGGGACGGAGGGAGTACTCTACAAAGTATATAAACTAATACATTTTTTAAGCTTTGAGTTCAGTAAATCCCTTGAAGCGAAATATGGCACGTAGTTCACGTTCACAAAGGAGATGCCAGCATTAGTGGCCATCTTATTTACTAGCGTAGTTTGTTTATCTGAAATCTTTCCTACCAAATTTTCAGTACGAACATTATCAAGTTTTTTTCTAATGGCATCCGCCAAGGTGGAATGTTCTTTAAGTTCCTCAGTAAAGAATCTATTGTGCTTAATCTGTGAAAACATGAAGTTTTTAGTAGTCTTCTCAATTTCTGCCAACCTTTTATGATAAGGATCAAAGATTTTATCTTGGGACATAGTGTCAAAGAAAGCAAATGAGCAAACAAAAAATATTTTTTGTGCTTTTTCGTAAAAAGAATTAGAAGTGGGGGAGATGGAAATGAGATGCATAGGCTAATAAAAAGGAAAATAAAATAAGAGCAAGTAGATGATAGTTTGCGCGAAGGTACTTGATAGGTTTTGATGATGTTTCTCCGGCAACTGCGTCAAAAATTCTTCCTGCTACTTGTGAGCTGCATTGGATTTTCTCGAAGAGGAAAGGAGATGCAGTACAATATAGACAAATATTTCCCTCAGCTAAGAACCAAAGTTATCAATCCAGTAGGAGAATCACACAAAGCCTTGTGAACATCACCTGCAGGAAATTGCAATATACTAATGGTATGGGTCGAATCAATGTCAATCCTATTTGGGGTAAGATTTGGAAATTATTGTGTCCGGCAAAGGTAAAAATATTTATTTGATGAATGTTGTATGGAACTCTATCGTGTTGTGTTACGCCTACCAATAGACATATGAAAGTTTCGCCCCTTTGTCCTTCATGCTCGAATGGGCAAGAAGATACAAAACACATTTTGTTTCTATGTCAGAAGGCAAAAGAGGTTTGGGGTAAGTTTGGGATGTATGAGGTAATTAAGAAAGCTTGTGTTATTGAGAGGCAGTTCTTGAATTCTTACTTCTTATGCCACACCAAAAACTATCTATATTAGGTTGCTGGAATGCACGTGAATTAATCGCGATAACTGCTTGATATTTATGGTGGGAGAGACGCATGTTGGTTCATGAAGGAAAGTCTTAAGATGTGAACCAGATTTCGACGGGGGTTCGTGCTATAACGACAAACTATGTGAATGCCCACTCCCCTAGTGCGACTAGTAGAAAAGAAGGATGGAGCCAACCTCCTATGGGTTTCGTTAAACTAAATGTTGATGCTTCTTTTGACCATGGTCTGCTCAAGGGCACTGCAGGTGTTGTACTCAGAGATGATAAAGGAACGTTTATTGTTGGCGGAAATTGGAAGATCGATTGCTGTGCTGATGTACTAACAGCAGAAGCGATGGCTCTTAGGTTTGGTTTAATTCTTGCACAAAAGGCGGGATGCAATTGTCTTATTATTAACTCTGATAATATGGAAGTCATTGGCACAATGAAGAATGGAGGACAATCGGCGGGAGTTGCGGCGACAGTCTTCAAGGGTTGCTACTTCATGGCATGTGATTTTCTGTTGACTAGATTTGAACACTGTAATAGGGTAACTAATAAGATTGCTCATGAACTTGCTAGGCTAGCAAAAGTTTCTGTAACTAGAGATTGGTTTGAGGAGCCTATGGAGAATATTGTACCTCTTCTTATAGACGATGTAACCTATTTCCAACTAATAAAGTGGATGTTTTCTTAAAAAAAAGAAAAAATACTTGCACCCAACGGTTGCCAATCCCCTTGGTGGTTACTTGCAAGGATTAAATCTCATAGTGGTAGATAGATAAATTGCAAAGATAAATTAAAAGAAAATAAAAAATTGTAGGAAGGTATTTTTGTGTTTTTTATATGATAAAAGTTGACCCAGGGGCCATAGTTTTCACTAGAGGCTTCTCTCTCGGACACATAGCATACGATGGGTAGACAAATTACTGTTGGGTAATTGATAGAAAAGCGCATAGATATGACAATATTCAAGGCAATGATCATGTATATAGGCATCATGTCCGAGGCAAGCAGACCGACTCCTGCATGCATCTACTACTATTACTCCATCCATCGACCGCTATCTAGCATGCATCAACAGTATTAAGTTAATAAAACAAAGTAACGCCTTAAGTAAGATGACATGATGTAGACAATGTAAACCCAATCAATATGAATATACCTCATCGTTTTACCCTTAATGTCAAGAATACAAATACGTGTCTTGTCCCTTTCTGTCATTGGGATAGAGCACCGCAAGATTGCAAAGCACCTCTCCCACTAAAGTTAAAATCTAGTTGGCTAAACCAAACATATAGATCAGAGAGAAATGCAAAGCTATAACAATCATGCATAATAAAGTTCAGAAAAGGTTCAATTACTTCTTATGAATATTCAAATTATAAACCCACAATTCATCGGATCCCAAAAAACACACCGCCAAAGAAGATTAAATCGAATAGAACTTTAAGAACATCGAGGAG